AAAGGGTAATAAGCACGTAGGAAATGAGATAATTTCTCTAGAGCCTTCTTCAGTCTTCTTCTTTCTCCTCTCCACCGTGAAATCTTGTATAAGGTAAGTGGGTCTTCAGTTGGTTAATTCTTTCGTTTTAAAGCTTGTTTTGATTTTTGGGATGTTAAAAAAGATTAAGGAAAACTTTAGGTGGCTTAAAACTCAAAGATTAACAAGTTATGAGAAATTAAGAAAAAATGAGTTTTTAAGTGAATATTTGAAATAGAAGGAGTTAATAGAGTTTGAATATGAATTTGAGTTGTCGATGGTTAAATTAAGGAATATGAAGTGTTAGAATTAGATTTAGAACATGTTGGAAATTGAGTGTAATTCTTGAATGCCATATAAAGGAAAGGATGTTGAGTTTAAAGAAGTGATTATTGAGTAGAAATGAGTTTAAGTGTGTGTATGAAAGTTAGGAATATTAAAGGAGGTGAAAGATGAAGAGTTGAGATGAAAAGAGAGTGAATTTCGTGAAAAAAATGGAATTTCTGGGTTGTATGCATCGATGCATCTTTAATGTGTATCGATGCACTCTCAAATAAATGAACATCGAATGCAATTAGTGCATCGATGCATAAGGAGTGCATCGATGCACCCCTTAAAATACAAACATCGAATGGGATTTATGTACCGATGCATAGATAGTGCATCGATGCACCCTTCAAGGGATGCATCGATAGGGATGCATCGATACATGGTGTAGTGCATCGAAGCATACCTTCATTAAAAGATGAAAATAACTTAATTTTTAGCCTAAGGAGTAATAGTTTAGAATATATCAATTCGTATGTTGATATGTATCAATGTATTACTATATAGATTTAGAACGTAATCTTGTTCCGGAACAATCGAAAGATTAGGATCGAGTCAAAGCAAGCAAGGCTAATGTGAGTGCGTATTAGTTGGTATATTATGATGAATAGAAATAAGACTTGCGACAAGTCTATTTCCTATAATAGCATACATATAAGCATGTTATTGATATGGGCATAATTGTGATATATTATTGTATATGTGGTATGATCTGTGTGAATGTATGTTATTGTTATGTGATTAAGATATCAATCATGTGATAATGAATTGTATGGATATATGGAAGGTGAAGTAAGCTAAAGTATGTGAACATATGTATATAAGATAAGTTATGTAGATATGATTTATGAGAGTATAAGTGATATGATTGTAAGATTTCAAGAGATAAGCCATATGATATGAGTGATATGATAAGAACCTATGTTTATGTGATATGCCTATGTGAATATAGGGTAAACATAATAATGATGCCCATGTTACGTGACATGAGAGCTAGAGGTATAGTTGGCATGCCAAGAGTCGAGGGTTCTACGTGGTCATTCGAGACATATATGTAATTCTGTGGAACATATATGTGGTACTTCGGTACACTTATTTGGTCCATTTTATTATGTGTATGGTTCTTAAGGAGTGGTCCTTCGGGATAAATCAGTGGTCCTTCGGGACAAATATACAGTGCCCCTAGTGGGAATTTATTCGAGCTGTGGTGACAGCATCAGTGCACAACCTCAATGAACTCACATATCTTTAGTTCTCCAAGATGTACATGGGCCAATAAAGAAATAATATACAGAAACTTAACATGATTGTCATATGTGATTGAACATTTGGATGTGAATGTATGAGCTTCATTTATTGCATATATGATATGTTCTATGTGAAACATGTTGATATGATATTTGGGAATGTAAGTGAATATAATATAATTATATGGTATGTTAGAAGTAATTTCATGAGAAATCTAGTGAACGCTATATACATATATATACATAGATAATGAAGTGGTGAACTATATGATTAATGAGAATTGAGACAAAGCATACAGCATATTAAATATGGAAAAAGGTATATAAATAAGTATAAAAGGATATTAGATAAGTTGTGTAGGAAGGTATATACGTTTAAAATAGAACTGTGAACTAACCTTGCTAAATTAGTAAGGGATATGAAATTTAGTATAAGAATCTAAGAAATGAGTATATCAGAGGAATCAAATGACAATAAGTTATGCAAATGTATGTTTATTAAATGAAGATTTGGTGAGGAATGAATTAAGAGAATATAAGAAATTAGGATATTAGAATATGTAACGAGAATTTATGGGTGAAATGTTAAATAGAAACATATAGAAATGAGAGATAAGATATGTAAGATTGCAATCAAAATTACAAGATTAAGAATAAGGTAAGTAAACGATTTAAATGAAGATAGTAGAATGTGATATAAGCTAAGTAGTGTAAAGTAAATGATTATAAGAATATGAAATAGTAAAACTCATATGTGATATTATGAGGTTTGTGTATGTATTCATTTTATGAAGTGTACATGAAGATGTATGTTATAATAGCATTAATTATTCATATGCATTGTTAGAAGTTTTGTTTATATTATATGTTTTATAAGCCTCACTAAGTCATAGACTTAGAGTGTGATTGTTTCACACGTAGGTTATAGAAGCGAGAAGAGAAGCTAAGAGGAGCAAGACAGGTTAGTATCTTCCTTACGAATATCGGATCAGAAACATATTAAATATATGTATTCTGTTTATTAGAATGTAGTTGGCATGTAGTATAAAGATTTGAATAGTATAAGCTCTGATATGTTTTGTAAAACCCAATTATGTCAATTAATGAAAATATTAATTTTGTCAAATAGTGAGTTGAATTTTTATCCACCTGTAAAGGAAAATATTTTGAAAAGTCAATGTGACATCCGGGTCGGATACGGGTTGAGGGTGTTACACTGATGTTCATATATTTCCTTGTCAAACATCTCTATATGAAATAAATTCTGGATTAATATTTTATTAGGTGTATTTTGAAGGAGCAATGAATAAGGAAAATTTATGGTCATAATAATTTATTCAATAGAGAAACTCCTCTGTATATTATTTCAATGGTACTTAGAAATTCTGTTTTCTTAGATGTTTACCTTTTAAATCCAAATCCCGTTTTCTAAGATGTTTTCTTCTAAAACAGGCTAATCTTACATTAGAATCGGTGACAGAGACTGTTTTCTTCTTGGTTACAGAACGACTGATTCAATTGGAGAAATCTTGAAGGGAATTCGATGTTACTTTGACAAAGCTTTGCCTGTGATGCTTCTCTACAGAAAATAGCGTCAACAATACCATGAATTTGTCCATGATGGTGTTTCCCCATCGACTATATACGGTGCCGAACATTTACTACATCTTTTTGGTATGACCACTGTCTGACTTAGAACTTTCAAGTGCACTAATTTACTTTCATCTTCAATGCAGTTTGAAGATTCTTTTTCACCTAATGCGTCATTTCATGCACTTCATTTAGCGTTGTTGTCAAATATATATAAACATTTCATTGATCTCTAGAACCCAAGACTAACGTGTTCTGGTTTTTGTTGTTAAGTTCCCTGAGCTATTGGCATATGTGAACATCGTAGAGGAAACCTTAACCCGCTTGCAACAGAAGTTAATGGATTTTCTCAAGTATCAACTTCCCCTCTCATCTATTTTATCCTATAAAGTACCATTTGAAGATCATTCAATCTTTTAACTCTGATTTAAATTCAATAAGGGGGATATAAAAGTTCGCATCATTATTGTCACCATGACATCTAGTTAGATTTCATAACCGCATTTGTTTCTTTTCTACTCCAATCATTTCTTCTTTTCTAGTATGTTATTCAGACTAGTCTAGTGTATCGAAATTTTCTGTTTCTTCGTATTGGAATGATCCTTGGACGGTCATGTTTCATTGCCTGTATATATGTGGGAAATATATAAACACGGATTTCGAACATGAGTACTTCAAGGAAAATTAAGAGTCCAATCAACATAGCTTTTCTCGACACTTTTTTGTTGTTTGGAAAGAGTATAAACAGCTTCTCTTCTCATCTCTTTTTCTTTTCTTTTTGTTAACATGTGCATGTTTTCATAATCATCTGTTCACAGTTTCTTTCATTGGTTTGTATAACTGGACATTGTATTTCAACTGCATTAGTTTAACGCTAGTCTATTCATAAATTCCATTCTGTTCATATATATAAAAAAATCAAAAATAATTCTTACATATGCAGGTCTCTGCAAAAGAACCAGAGCACCTTTTTTCTCTCTGCGTACGACGGATCTAGACTTTCAGGTCAGGGGAAAGGGAAAGATGACTAGAAGCAGTATTCGAACTGCTACCACAACCATTTTCAACGTTCGGAATTTTAATTCCGAAAAACAGTAAGGAAATCAGTTGCAGTATTCGATGATCGGGTGGCATGCTATTGTCTCTTTGACAAGGACAGCATACAATTAAATGGCTGTCCCTTTTTTCATATATATGGGATAAGGAGAGGTAAGATAGTAGGTTATCTTCAACACCAGGTTGAAAGCAGCTTCCGTAAGAGACCTTCGAATTATGAAATGCCTTTCGTGGGACTCGATCCCACGACCTCAAGATACTAAACGACATTTAATCGGGATATATTTCGTGAAAACATTGAGAGAAGTTGCCGTAGGTAGCCCCTCTTTTTGTTTTCCCTCGAATACCAAACGAAATTCGATTGTTGATATATGTCGATGTTATGGTGTGAATTAGCATTCTAGCTTGGGCTTAGAAACTGCTTGATCTGTTTTTCTTGCTATGCAATTTGCAAATCATAGAAAGGCTTACTACGACCAGATTCGATCCGCATTGGGGTATAGTCTAGTAATCACTTGTCAACACCATGACCCCTGTAACACCAAATTGAGAAATTCTTCCCATTTTGCATATAAAAATAATTTATTCCATGTAAGTAATTAATCATCAAGTTAAAAAAGCTTGAAATATTTGGATTTTTAGGGGATCTTTGGCATGTAAAATTTCATTTTTAAATGTCTTTTTTCCTATCTCAAGCCTCAAGTTTTCCTTTAAACCCATAATTTTTTCTCAGTTTCTGTACACTAAACAAAATTATTTAAGAAAAACAATAGCCCCTTTTTTTCAACATTTTGAAGTTTAGTCGATCCTATTAACCCCAACTCGACTCATGGGCATACCATTCCTAATCCCCATATCCGAACACATCCCCATTCCCTCTCCTCCTGAAACGCCACCGTTTGCCAGTTGCTGCATCTGGACCATGTAATTCCTCACCTCCACTCTTATCATTTCTTGCATCACCGCCATAAACTCCGCACTGAACCCCATCACCCCTCCTCCCTTGCCTTCATTTCTCGCTTCGTTCCTAGTCTGAGTTGACTCGGTGACTGGGAGAGTTGACACCGACACCTCACATGTCTCAGCCCCAGGTAAAGACAGACTCAGTGACGTCTGTGGTTCGTCAGAAGACGAAGCCGCTTCGGCTCCAGGAGATGGCATAACGTTGACTCCGCCGGTCCTCGGGATGGGTTTATACACGTGTGAAGATGATAAAACGGGTACGCTTGAATCGCTCAAATCGGACCCCGATTGTCTCCTGGGGCTCATGTAAAGTCCTGCACTCACCGATCTCTTCAACGGTTGTCGCTCCTCTTCATCCCCTTCCAAATTACCATCATACCCGCCATTCAAAGCATTAAAAAAACTCTCTTCCCCGACCGATAAGCACTTACGTTTAAGCGTCGAGTTCCAGTGGTTCTTAATGGCGTTGTCCGTACGACCGTTGAGTAGTCGGGCTATGGTGGCCCACTTGTTACCGAATCGGGCATGAGCTCTGATGATGGTCTCGTCTTCCTCGGGACTGAAGGCCCGGTGCTCAACTTGGGGCGACAGCTGGTTACACCACCGGAGCCGGCAGGATTTTCCGGATCGACCCGGGATCGATTTGCTGATCAACGACCAGTTTCTGGGTCCATGCTTTTGGACCAGTTTCTGAAGCAAGTTATCTTCTTCGGGGATCCATGGACCTTTGCTCCGATCCATACCTTTTACGTTTGATGTGCTTGTTACAGCCATGATATCAAATTTGAAAGCATCGAAAGGAAAATTTGGTTCTCTGGATCTATTATCGGGTTTTTTTCCTTCTAGTTTCGGTTTGCTGTTTAAAAGAAAAACAAGCCAGTGAAGGGGGAGTTATATAAAAGAGAAGAGGGCAGTAACAGTAACCGGTTGAAAACGGTGAGGAGAAGCGTTATGGGCACCGACTGTTCAAATTAAGCGGTTGGATAAAGGGGGTTGGGATACAGCTGGCGAACACACACGTGTCATATCTGCACTGCACTGATTTAAACGTCACTCTCGCTTAATATTTGTTTTATCCTTTAGAGCTTTTTTGCGACTCTCCATCCTTGCAGCGTCTTTCTCACTCTCAATGTTATAAAGAATTTATATTTCGAAGTTAAAATTAATATAATTTGTATAATTATAACTAAAATTAATTAAAATAATATATAAATAAATTTATAATATTTTATTAAATTGAGTGGCATGTTATAAAAATTCTACAATATATGTTAAAGGTCCGTTATCTACTTTATTCAGTAAGTTATAGATCTGGGAGATATATATTAATTTGAATCAAGCTGGTCTAGTGTTAGTTATTTTTTTAATATTATAATATATTTTATTTTATATCTAGATAATTAAATACCATCTCAATTCAGACAATTGGATGTTAACAAAGAAGCTTCCTGGAAGTAATGACAAGTGTACTCACGCTCTAAACATAGAGAGTAGAATACGGTTGCTTCTTATTCACTGTTCTGAAAGATATATATACAGACAGAACCGAACTCTACGTACAATAATTTATCACGAAAACAAAACAAAAATACTAAATTATATTAGTTGGGCAAGGCTCGAATCTGACTTTGACTGAGAAGGCCAGCCTGTAGAGCATTTTCGTGATGAATTTTTTTTTACTTTTTAAATATTATTATTTTTAGCTAAAAAGTTAATGAATAAATAGAAAAGGCGCATGGAAATGATGAGGTGGCGCAAAACGACAAGATTGGTCGCGGAATCGGAGGGCGAATCGTTACTGCTCTTTTTTTTTTCTTTTTTCTTTTTTTGGTATAAGTCCAGCCTGTAAACCTGCCACGTCTTTACGTCCTCTGTCTTATTTATTTGCCATTCGTCGGTCATCCGTCCTTTTTTCTTTGCTTCCTTTCGCTTTTGCGTTTACCTGTACGGAAGCTGTAAAGGAAGGAAACCCCCGTAAATTGTTTACCTAACCACGTTTGAACGTCTTCCAGCGACCTTCTTTTTCGAAACTTGAAAAGAAAAAGGATTAACAGGGCTTTTTTGGAAAATCAGTGAAGGGATTAAAGGACGGATTAAGGAGCGGATTAAATTAATGAAATGATTAATTAAAAAAATGTGATTAATGGTATCCCTGTCCATTTTATGTTACCTGTTTGGTGGTAGACATTAGTGTTAGATTTATTTTAATTAGTAATTGATGTTTCGTCTGAATTGTTTTTCGGTTAATTATCTCTTTCCTTCTTCTCAATTTTATAAACTCAATCAGTAATTCATCGATTTGATAAGGAATTCTATCATTTGAACCAATATGATCCAATTCAATAAATGACATATTTTCCTCGTCTAAAACCAATTATTATAACTTAACTTAACTTTATTTTATTTAATTATATCTTTAAAATTTTAATTTAGTTTATAAATTATTAACACCTTTATTGAAATGATAAACTTTTAATTTAGTTATTATATATGTTTTATTTTTTTAAGAGGAGTACAAGTAAACTTATACGTATAAAATGATTGATTTGTGACGAATATGATCAACGGGTGCATAAATTTACGACGTTAAGTAAAAACACAAATAATTTGTTTATCGAATTACGTGGAATTCATTAAGGTCTATGTATAGTAAAAAAGTTGCGAATACTACACTTAAAGTAGAATTCGATGCTAAATGGGTAGTTTACTTTAAGTGGAAACATAATTGATGATCATCCAACACATGTTTTGATGAAGGAATGCTACACATTCATAAAAGAGGGTGGGATCAAGGAAGTATGTCATATATTTTGTAAGGGAAATAAATGTACCGGTCATCTGACAAATATAGCTCATAATTAACACGACGTTCTAATAATTTTAGATGAAACTTCGATTAATCTTCTTTCTTACTAAATATTGATGTCAGAAGAGTAGACATTTTGAGATCATAATTTTATTTATTTATTTCATTATCATACCAAAAAATATAAAATTAATACATTAATCTTTAAAAAATCAATAAAAAATACAAATTGGACAATTAAAATAGTATTTTTAAATATAAAGGTAATATATGTGTGATTGTATAGAACCAAAATTTATATATCATGTTTTATAAAAAAAAATTAAATATCATGTGAAACATCAGATGAAATTAGACTATTAAAGGAAGGATTCTTCAAATGATATTTACATACAATAATTTTGTGTAAAAATATTATCTTTGCATGTGTCACGTGCATCAGCTTCGCCTCAACCCAAGGAAACACACGTGCGAGTTGCTTCCATCAGTAAAGCAGAACGTTTGGGGCACTATGGAGATTTCGAAGGCGTGAGAAAAGGGCCGTATGAGTATTTGGATTTTCTGTACGGTCGGTGAATACATTTATGTAATTCTAACACGTGGATTTTCATTTATAGCGAATTTTTATAATATTTGATCAGGTCAGTCCATAATTTTAGGGAGGAAAGGTAATCATCCGATTATAAGTTATTCAAACATTAATTAGTACAGCTCGTTACATGTATTATAAGATTAGGGCTAGTCAAATATTATTTTTTTAAGCTATGGTCAAACATTAATTAGTATAGCTCGAGACATGTACTATAAGACTAGGGTTAGTTGGAAAAAAGTTCACTATTTTTTTATTTTATTTAACTAGTGATAACATCATTTTTAATGTTAGTCGATCATCAATTATATTCCTTTTTATTTCTTACATTACATATTTATTTTTTTTCTTTATTTTTTTAGTTTATAATAATTTTATCTTCATAATATTTTTTTTCTACTTTTATGACACGTTTTCATTTGTTTTTATGGCACATTTTTAGTCATTTGGTCAATTTTTAGTTAAATTTTCCAGAATTTGATTTAACATCTGGCCGGTAAAGATGACGCTTGTATATAATTTAAATATGCGGTTTGCATTCATAGATAGTTTTCTCACGACGATCGATTCTGATATGCAATTGTCGATAGTCTTTTAATAGTTTAATCATCTGTTATGGTTCGTTTATTAATGTAGCTAGATTTGTTCGTATATATTTTTTGTTCAGTTTTTTTGGATGGGTTTTAGCCTTTTCCTTATATTGTCCTTATCTTAAGTAGGGATGGCAATTATCCATATGTGAGTAGATTATCTACCCACCCGCCCCGAATAAATGGATGAAAACCCGCTATGAAACGGATGATTGGCGGGTGATGGGTTGGGTCGGATATGGATGAAATTTTTTTGACCCATCACCCGCAGCATACATCCACCCATTAATATAACCATCCATCTATATTTATATATATATATTATATTATATATATATGTTAAAAAAATAAATGGATGATTGTAAATATTCTTATTCTCTTAATTCTGACTTTTATCCCGTTGAAAATATGTCTAATTTTTTAACATTGATTTATCCCTATTGATACTAGGATGGAGAGGACTTTTGAGAAGTGATAGTTTGTTGATGAAGATTTGAAGATTATATTTGGTGTACAAGACTATACATGATGCATCTATTTACTTGAAAAATGCATCACAAACATAGTGCACAAGACTATATAAATTGTGTTCCGTTTTGTTTTTGTTTGAATTTGATGAAATTTTGTTGTTCATGTTTTGGTTTCTATGAATGTTTGAGTATCAATGTTTGGTTTCTATGAATGTTAGAAGAATTTGAGCTTAGGATGTAACAATAGGTTTGTTCATAGTATCATCCATTTCTCATCCGCTCCACCCGCGAATGATGGATGGAGCGAATATGGATGAAATTTTTGGTGGGTGATGGATGGTGTGGATGGAGATTTGGACCGCGGGTGATGGGGCGGATGAAGCTCCACCCGACCCATCTCCGATCCATTGCCAGCCCTAATCTTAAGTGGCTAATTTATTGTGTCAATGATTATAAAAAAAATTCTAATTGTGTGTTTAGGTTACGAACTTTATTGTAATTTTAAATATTTTCTTTTTTAATAAAAGTAACAGTTTTATTTACATAAAAAAATATTATAACTCGAGGACTTAAATAAATACAACTAGATGTAAAGGGTAATTTTACTCAAATAATGTTCTGGAAAAAAATACTTTCATACAAGAGATTGAAAATTTTATTTTTTCCGTCTATGATTATTGTTATGATACATTATAGAAGATATTCATATTATATAACGATATTTGGGAGACAGATTATCCGATATTTTTTGAAAAATGTTATTTAAATTATATCATTGTTAACTTATGACTCATACATTTATCTTAGAGATGTTGAGTGATCAATATAAGTCGTTGAATGATTCATACATCTTATTAAAATTATTAAATATTCCAAACGTTTTTCATGAAATATTATGACAATTACCCCACGTGAAAAAAACAATTTTTTCAACTCCTTAGCACAATTTTTTCTAAAACATTATTTGAGCAATTTTATAGGACGTAAGCTAAATTTTGTTTTTTTTTATAGAAATAATTCGTTCACTTTGGATAATAAAAAATTATTATTTATTACTCCACCCTATATTTTTCATATTATTTATTGAAAGAGTTAATTGTATTATATGTCTTCAAACTATAATCCTCATTTTAAATTGGTCCTTAAACTTTTAAAGATTCTAATTTGATCCCCAAACTATGACTCATTTTAAATTAGTCTTTAAACTTTTGAACACTCTAATTTTATCCTAAAGTATGATCCTCTTTCTAAATTAGTCCTCAAACTTTTGAATATTTCAATTTCATCCCCAAATTTATCCAAATATATAATTAGTTTCAACCATAATTTAACCTAAATTTTATTTTTTAAACATATAATAATATAATTTGGTCAATCGATTTTATTAACAAGGGATGTGATTAGTATATGCATATAT